GCAATTTTTTCTCATGTTCTTTTTTATTCGCTTTTTATAACTGCAATATCTAAAGCAAAAAGTTTGACAATAAAATCTGTTTTATTGTTCAAATGATTTGCACAAGGTTTTCTTTTAGCATTTACTGGCTAGATGACATTTCTGCTTAATACTAAAATCGATTCTCTACTCAACTTTTCTTTGCTTTTACTTGGTGGTTCCTTTTTTTTTTTTTTCAAATCTAAATTTATTTAATTACCAAAATAATTTTGCGGTTTTCAGTTGCAGTGATTTTTCTCAACGAGGATAATCACTGATAAAAATATGTGTCTGTTTATGGTATTGTTTGATGTAAATTTTAAAAAATGGATGAATGATAAACGGCATTTAGAAAGGTGTTTCTATTACCTGAAAAAAAAAAAAACAACTTTTTCTATTTTTGATAGAATTATTATGGTTGATAAAGCTACAGTCTTGAGCATAAAGTTTGAGAACATCTTTAGAACCTAAATGACTTAGTCAAAATGAGTAAACAAAAAAGAACATGAGAAAATAGAGAAATAATTAACTGAAAATTGTTGTTGTTTATGGTTTTTCTAGTTCTCTTTTTTCTTTTTTCATTTTTTTATATTACTTTTTTTTTTCAATCTAATATTTTCTAATTTTGCATCAATTATTGTTGAAAAAAAAATTGACTTTTAGGAATATACAGAGCCTTATTTTATGGGTATTTTTTGTATTGAATGTAGTCTCAAAATAATTGCATTTGGTTTTGTACTGCACAAAGGGTCATACCTCCGTTCAGGATGGAATATTATGGATTTCATTGTTGTTGTATCCGGGTACATTTATTTCTACTTTTGTTTACAAAAATTTTAATACTAAGAAAAAAGAAACAGTAATCTTCAGATTATGTATACAGCTTTATTAACTTAAAATTTTCTTAGATAATTAACTTCTCAGAGTTTTTTCTTGATTTTGCAGTGTTGTTACTATGCTTCCATTTACTCCGTCTGGCAACGAAGGTGGAGGATCTGTAGACCTGAGAACATTACGGGCGGTACGTGTACTTCGACCACTGAAATTAGTTTCTGGAATACCAAGTAAGACAGTAATTTTTTGATGCACTTAGTGAAACTAATTTATTGCTAAATACCATAAAGCTAGACAAGATTGTAGTTAAGATACGCTGATAAACTATAAATCATAGGTTTACAAGTTGTGCTCAAATCGATTCTCTGTGCAATGGCACCATTGCTGCAAATTGGTTTACTTGTGCTTTTTGCTATTATTATATTTGCTATTATTGGTCTCGAATTTTACTCGGGTATTTTTCATTCTACATGCTACAATTCCAAAGGAGAAATTGAAACTGCTGCCGAACGACCATTTCCTTGGTAAGCGAACCGTAAAGTTCAAATACCAAAACTTTATTCGCTACAGTTTCATCAGCTTTCGTTACTATTGTTTTAATTTCAAACTTACTGAAAAACGAACAAAAAATTTGTTTTGTATTATCACTTGAAACTCTGTAAAATTCTTTTCGCTATTTACAGCTCCACAAGAAATGCTACTGGTGCGTACAAATGTGAAGGAGAAGGTCTGATGTGTTTAAGTGGTTGGGTTGGGCCAAACTATGGTATTACCTCATTTGATAATATCGCTTTTGCTATGCTAACTGTCTTTCAATGCATTACTATGGAGGGATGGACTTCTATTATGTATTATGTGAGTGTTTTAAACATGAAACCTTATATGTTCACTGACATTACACTAGTCACACTCCTTTACTAATTCAAGAAATTAAGATGGAAACTATTAAGTGTAATATTTCTGTTATTACAGACAGATGATGCCCTCGGTAGCACTTACAATTGGGCTTATTTTATACCTCTTATTGTGCTTGGTTCATTTTTTATGCTCAATCTTGTTCTTGGTGTTCTCTCTGGGTAATCTGCTTTTTTTTTTT